TGAACAGAAGATTTGCAGGGATTTATCGAAACCAAATTTGAAGTATCTGAACGCAAGACAAGCGATTCGAGACGTGGAAAGTTTTGTCGATCACATCAATAGACGTGAACGAATGACTGAACCCAAATGGATTGCACTCGGTGGAAGTTATTCTGGTGAATCAAAGTTTTCTTCCTTCTGAAAGCTCAATGAACAAATTATTTTCCAGCAAATGATTCAGTGTAAATTCCACATTGAAAAATCTCAATAATCACTATGAAATTTTGTCTATATTAATTTGAAAAATCCCGAAAGCAAAAAATTTTCACGGTACATTCATATCAAAAGAAGAAGAAATGGCATGCGACTATATATACTCTTGAAATCATTTCCAGGAAGTTTAGCCGCGTGGTCACGCGAGAAATCGCCGAGGAGAATCCGAGCCGCAGTGGCTAGTTCGGCTCCATTGCTGGCGAAAGTTGATTTTAATGGTAGGGGAGATTGGCGCAAGAGAGAATTTCCCATCGAATGGTGTTCTGTCTAAATGAAATAACTTAGAAATGAAATGAAATAAGTTACTAGTTGGAAAAATAAGCGCAAACAGAGTTAAGAATTGCAATCTCAAGCACAGTGCACCATAGCGACGTTGTAGCTCAAATCTGTTATTGTGACCGGATTGTAGTTGCAGTGAGATCCTGATCTGATGTTTCAGCTAACCTGTTTTCAAAATAATGAAACTTCAACTTCATGCATATGAATGATCAATTCTTCGAGGGATTTCGATAGCATTTAAAATTACTCCTAGTGATATGATACACTTTATCCACCTTATAATGAAAATTATAAGTTGTCCGAATTTCTCAGATTGCATCGAACTGTGTATTGCATCGACTGTTTCATGTAAGCAAAATTGAAAATTTGAATCTGAAGATTCAGAAATACGCAGAGTCTCAGGAGTCATTTTCAAATCAGTCACATATTACAGAGTTCGACAAACAAGTGGAAACAATTCTGACGAAGTCTGATCCAGACTGTGTGTCAAACATAAGAAGTATTTTCCGATTGCTTGTCGAGAAGATGAAAACGCTGAAGGGAAGGCGTGAAATTGTACGGGTGTTCAGGTAGGTGGTGCATTGCATTGGTTTTGTTAAATGTTCGGAAAGTCTATTTTACATAAGAAACTACTGAAGAAAGATGTTTTCCAAATTTGTGCAGTTGAATCTTTGTAGATGTTTAACGAAAAAGTGTTTTTTGGATGATTTCATATGAGATGTTTTGCGAGAGAATTGGCATTTTCAATTTATTTTTTGCCATAGTTTCAGATTGGATGATTCTTTATTACGGCCTGGTATGAGTGAAAAGGACGTTCAGAATTTTTTCTTTGTGGTGCGCAATTACATCAACTTCATCATTATGCACAGTGCAATTAACGCGGTAAGATGGCACTCACTCACTTTCTCATCAAATAACTGCCGAAAATGGCAAATTGTATGCAGCTAAGGGAATTATTTCAAAGAGCGCTTCGAATCTCACAAAATATTGCGAGATAGAAATGTCTCAAGGCATTTGAAAATTTAATGATAGATTTAGAAATGTGATGATGGATTAAGGTGATTATAAGGATAACTATAACTGACGCTATTCTATGAAATTTCTCACGAGCAAATATTCTGCGAGCTTAAACTGGTAATCCTAATTGAGATCCTGATCTGATGTTCCAGCCAGCATATTTTCAAAATAATGAAACTTCAGCTTCATGCGTATGAATGATCAATTCTTTGAGAATGAATGATCAATGGTCAATGAATGATCAATGATCAATTCTTTGATCAATTCATATCAATTCTTTGATAGGATTTAAAATTACTCATAGTGAAATGGCACACTTTATCCAACTTATAATGAAAATTAAGCGCATTCATCGTGATCTGCTAACGCTTCACTCAATGTGTGACAAACTGAGAGGTGGAACGTCTATCAAACAGTTGCGAGATGTAATTTCAATGGTCATGAAAGCGCATGGCAAATCGCCTCTTACGCCGATTGATATCAGTTACAGAAATTTTGTCGAGTTCATGAAGAACGAACGCTTCGGAAGGCCAAGTTCACAACGTATTCATTAATTTCTTTACTTATTTATAACACTCATCGTTTCAGTATCGTTATTTTCTCATTACTATTACTGTCATTCCATATTTTATTGCTAACACATCTTTATCATTGACATTGCTATCATATGTAGTTGTTACCATTATAGTCCACATCATTGATTTCAACAATAACTTTACCATTTCATACTTTTAAACAT